GAGATGGCTGATCTGATCTGCAGATAAGATAAGGATTATCCCTTATCACTTAAAGGGACTTCTAACCCAAATATGATTTGGATTAGCAACTCCTAATGTGATTAGGAGCTGATCCCTTTAAGATACTGAAAGAAAAAATGGGCGAATATAGTTCTGGGTGATTTGAGGTTCAAATCGAATTAGAGCTAAAGATCACAAAAAGAGAGATTTCCTGCACCCTGTGAGTTCTCTCTTGCCGCCTCCTTCTTGTTGTCGCCATTCCCTCTAGTTCGATCTCCAGTTCTTGGGAGAAATCAAGATTTGATCTTGATTCCAATCTTTTGGGAAAAGATTGGTTGGAGCTGTGCCCACAAGCCATCTAGTTGATTCTTGCGAAGGGTCAAGTTCTTTTGGAAGAACGTTGTTGATTCTGTTCCATCCATCACTACGCCATCTTCAGTGGGAGCAAATTTTGGATCCTTCCTTGGGCGTGAACACCTCCATTGGGAGATATTGATTCTCTATATCAAGTATATCCTCCCTCCTACTTCTTTTGGTTCAGATCTGATTTGGTTCTTGATTCAAGATTGATCCTTCAAAATATGTTTTCTGAAATAGGGAATTCGATTCCCTGCAAAGATGGGAGAAATTTTTTGAAATTCGCCCTATCATTTCCGCAAGATTTGGGCGTCCATGTGATGGATATCCCATCCCTTCAGGGTCCAGTTAGACTATGGGACATTGCCAAATGTTTAATATTGTTCAAATTAATATATAGAGCTATAAACAGTAATTTAAATACTTGATGTATTTGTTACCTCAACTAACTTATAAGTAGAATGTAATGCTTTGATTATTTCAATTTGGTTCCTGCTAGTTCAAAGAAGGTAATTTGTTGAATGAGTACAAATACAAATATATGCACAGTGCAAATATAGGGGATGTTTGAAACTGTGGTCGTTTTTAAAAAAATGGAGCAACATTGGATCCACATGGGCATTTCAACAAATGCCCTCGTATCTCATTTTTTGATTCAGCTGATTATTAATAAATCGGGTATGCCTCAAAAATCGGGACCCCACTGGTGCATCGGTGAACCGTTTCCTCCAACAGTTGACTGATGTGTATCTTATGTGGTGCTTACCTGTCAGCACGTACATGGAAAACAGTGATAAGAATCACCTTACCAAATAGCATAGTGTTGCTTACTACCTACGTGRCAAAAGCATTTTTTGTAAATAACAGGTTTTGGAAGCATGGGCGTTTTTTCTTGAAAATTAGTCCCAGAAAGCGCCCATGCTTCCAAACACCATGATATACATTGCATACAAGATTTTGCATTCGACATAAAGAGGCAGAAAAGGCTGTGGGGTGTTTCTATAGTTTCTCTGCTCAAGTCAAGTCAATTGTTGGTACAAAAAAAATAGAAAAAAAAAAGAAAAACAAATGAAGTGAAAAAAAAGTCAGGTCAATCGGTTGCATCTCCTTGCCTATTGGACGGGCCGACGGGGACCTCCAAAGACTTTCATTTATATAGTGATCCAGTCCAAGCGTGGAAAGTGGAAATTCTCATTTATCCACTCATAAGGAAGAAGACAGTGTTTCGTCAAACACATTGAACAATTATTTGACGATCGACAGGATGCAAATGAACAAACGCGCTAGAATGCAGAATGAAAGTTCATCTGTGGTTTAATTGATCTCGGTTTTCTTGAACGCCTTGACAGAGGACTCTGCTGCACCTCTTGGTTTGAAAATTTCCCTCACACTCTTGTAAAGCACCTGACAGTGGAAGAAACGATCATCCGCTGATTGCAATCAATACCTCTTATTTCAAGAAATCCAATAGAAAAAATATTAGATTTGAAACAGCCTGGACTAAGATATCTGATTTCAACACCATGGTTAGTCAATTCTGGAATAATCTTCTACCAATTTCAGAGACAAATGTGTAAACTGTTTCATCATAAGCTGTTTGTTTGGAGCCGCTTGAATCAACCTAATTTCAAACAGAGAATCAAAGAAATTGAATTTCATCTTAACACATCTCAATTAGATGTGACTAAGGAGTCCAAATTAAGCGGTGAACTAGAAAAACTTCTTGAGGCTGAGAAAATTTATTGGAAACAAAGGAAGCATGTTGACTGGTTTCAAAAAGGAGAAAGACAAACAAAAGTTTTCCATATATCTGCAACAAATAGAAGGAGATCCAATGGAATCCACTGGCTTCGTGATGCTAACGGGGATTGGACTTCACTCTTCAGATCCTAGAATAATCTCAAATACAATCAGAGATTCATTTCAGCAACCTTTCACTTCTCCAAATCATGATTTCTCCTATTTTTGACTCAAGTCCCACACCTGTACAGAAGATTTTAATTATATACTCTATAGATTCCCTTCTGATAGTGTGCGATCTGGATACTCCTAGTTGGAAGATGACTTGGACCCTAGTCGCGTGGCGAGCTGGATCAAGCTGCAAGATAAAGGATCAAAGAACTCAGGGTGGCTAACCCAACGGGGTCACTCTGATGCTTAAGTCAGTACTGTATTGTGGATGCAAGCTGAATACTTGARTGCTAGAATGCTAGTGAGCAAATAATCGCGCGTACCTCTCTTTTTTCTCCTCCCCCTGGGTCTTTGGGGTTGATGCCTTTATATAGGCATTATTCAATGTGAGACTCACCCACCGCATCCGAGATTTTCGGGAGATCGTGCCTAACCAGCCCGAAATCCTCATAGGTAAACATCATGTACGTTGACCACCCTTCGGAACGTTCAGTACGTGGACCAAATTCCAAGAATCGTGGGAGTGTCGGGATATACATGCCGAATTTGTCGGCAAGCACATCTCGCAGGTTGCCACCTGAACCTCAGTTAGGCCGGCATGCCCTCAAGGGAGGTCGCTCCTCGCGTCGAGGTCRCATCGGCCAGTGACGAGGTGTTGTGGGTCGCCCTGGACAAGGTGCTTCTAACCGACCTGAGTTGTGGTCGAGGTCTCTTTGCCCAGACTCCAAGTCATTGCTTAGGTGGTGCCTATGTGTCAATCAGCTATTCTAAGATGCCATGTGTCAAGATGTCATCGGAGGGCCAAATCCACCCTTATCAATTGCCCCCCACTCCCGAGCTTAGAGTAGCTCGACGAAGGGAGGTGATTGCTTCTTTTGGCCCAAGATGACTGTCATTTTCCCAGTTAAAATCAATTATGTGACCTCTAAGGATCTCT